TACCGTGCCAGCTGCAACAGCTTCTCCATGGAGCCACTCTCCATAACCGAAGCCAGTTTCTATGGCCTGTATAAAGAAATGATGGATGATGAGTGGCTCTTGGTCTGGAAAAAAAGAAATATCCAAAGAGGCCTTCATAGACTACTTACATGGCCAAATGTATGACCCAAATTCAGGGTTGCTCGCAAGCCGCTTTCTTTCTCATCTTGTGATACAACATCTGCCTTGTTTTCACATGATCGCTTTATAGCATAAGCTAATGCAGCTGGATCCCTGCAATGTGAGTTATTACACAATTTTTACAGATATAGGACACATGGTCTCAATGTTTTTGTTGATGTTAATAAACTACCTTGCCAGCAATGCCTCAATGTTCTTCTCCTGCCATTCAAAGAACTCGGCATCCCTGATAAGACCGTATTTGATCACCTCAGCTAAGCCTGAAGCCATCTCTCTATCTGGCAGTGTGTTCAACGTGTCAGTATCAACTAGCACACACTGTGGTTGGTAAAATGCACCGATCAGATTCTTTCCAAGACGATGATTTATGCCCGTTTTTCCACCGACAGAAGAATCAACCTGCAAAGGCAACAAAATGAAGTGCAGCGAAAAATAGAAACTTCTTCTGGATGTTAATGATTTAGACAAGAAATTCCTACAGAGAAGTGAAAAATATGTACCTGTGCCATAACAGTGGTAGGGATTTGGATGAAATTGACACCACGCAGATAAGAGGCAGCAGCATATCCACACATATCGCCAATCACACCGCCTCCAAGGGCAACAAATGTACATCGTCTATCTAGGCGAGACTCAATCGCCTTGTCGAAGACTTTCATGAGAGTATCCTACAAAGGAATAAACAGTCTCAATAACTAAAGATTACTCTTGACGAACCTACCCTAATAATAGAAGGCTTGATTAATCCTATTCCACGCAATCATGAACTGGAAAACTCTAAATCCAAAAGAAGCAAATACCATGTCTTTGTATTTCTCTCCATCAGGCAAAATAACACTCTCCACAGTCACGTTTGGATTTCCTCTTGTCAAAGCATCTATAGTCCTGTCCAGGTATAGTGGAGCAACTCGCTCATTGGTGACCACAAGAACTCTCTTTCCATGAACATGCCTATTCATCAAAAAAAGATTCCATAAGTAGGAAATTCACATACAAAACCATTGGCCTTAATTAAGGTCACTAGGTAATTGAGACGCATCATGCTCAAATAAATCGTGTAATGGGACAAAAGATGAGACCTTTGAAGAAGTTCTGATTGATCGAGTAATCCGGCGCCGATATAGATCGGATAACTCCGGTTACCCAAATCAACTTGAACGACTGTGGGAGAATTCATGGAGCGTTGTTTATCGTGAACAGGTTCGTTGATCAGTTGGCTAGCACTGGCTCGGACAGGAGACCTGGAAACAGTCGTGGAAGATAAAGATAAATCCCCAGCTTTAGACTTTGCAGAAGCCAGAGGGAAGGAAATGGTTGGTGGAGGAATCAAGCCACGCGTTTGAAGGGAGTTGAGATGCTTCGAGGCGGCGAGGTTGGAGGAGATGGAAAGCGCAATGGTGTTGGCAGCCATGGAAATCGATCCGGATCAGAAGACGGGTTTGGGGCGAGAGAGTTGAAGAGAAGGAATTGGGTTTGGTGAAGAGAAATTGTACATTTAAGAAATTACGAACGTGGTGGTGAGGTTTGGTGCAGCTTTCGGAGACGGCGTGGGGTAGGTGAGTCTCAGGCCATTTGGTGGGTCATGTGTAATCCACTACAACTCAGCGTACACTACACTTGATATAACAACCGTCCGATCTGAAAACCATATAGTAAATCGTTATTGGACGGTCTATAATTGGTCGACTCTATATTCTGCTAGATCGGCGGTCTCTATATGGACACCTCACATAAAGACCTGACAAAAACGGTGCCGTTTACCCGACCCGCGAAAAATAAAAGAGGAAGGCGACGACGAAACGCCGGTGAGTCGTCGGGATTGCTACATCAAGTTTTCGCCTTATCTGAAATCCCCAGAGGAAAGGCTACTTTCGTTCATACTTTAATCGAGAAATTAAGCTCCGTTCGTCTTCCGTAAACCCCAGGCGATAGGGATTTTTCTGCGCGATGGGAAAAGCAAGTAAAAGGGGAACTGAATTCTCCTTGGAAGATGAAGATGAAGATGACGATCAATCGTATAACCTAAGGTCATCGCGGTCTAATGCCAAGTCCAAATCGAGGCCCTCCGGTGGTAGCAGAACTAATCCAAGAGCGTCCAAGAGAGCTCGACTTTCGGGTGCTAGGGCGACTGAAGAGTCTAGTCACGTCGACAAGGCCTGATTTCTCTCTAGATTTGTGTCCTTGTATTCGTTTATGTTTTGGCGTCCTGAGTTTCGCTTTTATATGTCACGCAGATCAGATTGTCTTTCCAAGATTTCGATGAAGCTTTGAGCGGGTTCAAGGTATCTTCTTCTGGTACGCGGAAATTGCATGTTTCTTTCAGTTTTGTTGCTGTTTCGATGCTTTGTGTGGTTTTTGAATTTTAAGTCTAATTCGTGCTTGTAATGTCACTGGTCCCATGGTCTCTTGTGTAGGCTATGAAAGGAGCAAGAATACGGATTTATGGGTTGACAAATACAAGCCTCGCACCTTGGAAGAGCTTGCTGTTCACAAAAAGAAGGTAGCTTACTTCTGTGTTTTCCTTTTCTTAGCTCTGCTTTCTCTTGAATTAACGCATGCGTATTCTTTCTTTCTGTATACATAACCTTCAGGTTGAGGAAGTTAAATTGTGGTTTGAAGAAAGTTTGGATTTCTCAAAGGTAATCTTTGGCTTATGACTGACCTCGTGATGCTTAATTGCAGTATTCATTCACTATGCTGGTTTTCTTTATCACCAGGATGGTTTCAGGAATAATGTTCTACTAGTCACGGGGCAAGCTGGAGTCGGAAAATCTGCTACTATCCATTTGATTGCGTCTATCCTTGGAGTCACAGTGTATGAGTGGAACGCTCCTATTCCTACAGTCTGGCAAGAACACATGCATAACTCAAGTTCAGGTACTCAACAAATATATGTTTCGTTAAATTACTTAGTTTTCACTCTGCAATTACAGTTGTTGTATTAATCTAGTGATTACCTGTTGGATTTTGGTTATTTCTCCTAGGACTGAAGTACACATCGAAGCTGGATGAGTTTGAAAACTTTGTTGAGAGTACTAGAAAATACGGAGTGATTGCGTCATCGACTACTGGGGAATTAAAGGCGCGCGTTGTTCTTTTGATTGATGACCTTCCTCTAGCCAATGGGAGGCATGCGTTTGAAAGGCTGCAAAACTGCTTAATTCTCTTGGTGAGATTAACCCAGATGCCAACAGTGGTATTAATCACTGACTACGATAAAACGGAGTCTTCTGACCAGATTGCAGGAAGCATGGAGGATGTTCAGTCATCTCTTGAGCGAGCAGGGGCTTTAAAGGTTGGTTTATCGAACTATTTGCATTCTTGATCTAATTATTCATATTATTTTTTCAACTCTAGTATGTAATTCACAGGTTGCTTTCAATCCCATCACTAAGAACTCAATAAAGAAGACACTTCAGAGAATATGCAGAGAAGAGCATTGTAAGGTAACAACTTTGGAGATTGATCAGATGGCGAGTGCTAGTGGAGGAGACATCAGAAATGCTATTACATCTTTGCAACTCTTCTCGGTTAAGCCAGAACTGAATCACACAAAGATAAAACTACCACAGCCTCGCATGGATAACAGTTATCAGGGAAATGAGCAAACAATGCACAGTAGTTTGGATTGTGGAATATCTTCCTGTTTTGGTAGAGATGAGACCCTTTCGTTGTTTCACGCTCTGGGAAAGTTTCTCCACAACAAAAGAGAGACGGATCACGTTATTGTATCAGGTAATTCGTTACCAAAAAGTTATGAAGATGCAGTTTAGAGCTCAGGATCATTATTATCTAAGCTAATGTTTGTGTCAGATTGTAGTGACTCTCTAGTGCATGATCAGTTTGCAAGGTTACCACTGAAAATGGATGCTCCAGAGAAAGTTCTCAGCCAAGCTCATGGGCAGGCAGGGCGGGTTGTGGATTTTCTACATGAAAATGGTATCAACTAGTGGCTCTGTCTTGACTCTCCATTATTTACTTAGTATACGCACAATTTTCCTCCCTGATAGAGTGACACAGGAAATCTTACTTAAACTTACATGTGTGTGTGCTTTTCCAGCTGAAATATTTTGCTAATATGGGCTCATAACGTTTATGAAGTGCTAGATTTTGTGAGTGATGAAGCCATAGAAGATGCCTGGTGCATGTCTTCGTATTTGGCGGATGCTGATCTCCTTCTCGCAGCTTCAAGAGGAAAGATGAGTTGGCATAATAAAACAGAGGACGTTCTACAGTCAGCCGGTGCCTCAGTTGCTGTTCGTGGTGTGTTGTATGGAAACAAGCAGCCATGGTCATCCAGGTTTCTTATACAAACAAATGCCAAGTTGACTTTATCATATTTTTCTGGTTGGATTTTTGTATCATCGATTGGTCTGTATCGTGAATATGCAGATGGCACGCGATTCGCAAGCCAAAACTGTGGCAAGTGGAACAGTCCTCAATACAAACCAAGGTCTGGCTTTTTCTTTTTTCGGGAAAAAAAAAACTAATTATACATGTCCCTTTCTCTATATGCTTACAATTTTGATGTGTGAATGTAGAAGAATCTGCGAGAGCAGAGGAACATAGACTTTGAGGGGTCAAGAGTGTCAGATATATCAGTGATGGCTACAGAGTACAGCCCCGTGCTGAAATGGCTAAGCTACAGGGCATCTCCAGATGCGTTTGCAAAAATGGAGGAAGAGACTGATGGGGAGGAGAGTGAAATTTCAGAAGATGATGAAATACAAGACTGGTGACATTTACTACATTTAACATCTTGAGCCTCGTATATGTTCTGCTTACTTCTAATTAGGAAATTGACAGCTACTTCTCTATCTAACAATGAGCACAGCGAATTCATTTTTGGTTTATCCAAGTTAAAACGAATTCTAAACCCTTTTTCAGTTGTTTCTGGGAGCAGTTTCATAGTTAACAAAAGTGGGGTCAAGTTCCTTCATTTACCTAAAGTTGGCTTGAGTCGAACAAGATTGAGAAACAGAATCATCAACTAAGGTAAGTTCAAAATATTCAAATCCTCCCTAACAACTACAAGTCCTTTTTTCTTCTTCTTTCTACTGCTTTAGAAACATAATTAATCACTACCATAACATTTTTTGCAGTATTGGTTAGTTCACAACACATTCCTCGTCAATCCTAGGGATTTTAATCATGGATTGACTCAATCCCATGATTACATTCATACCTTACAAAGCAGCTTATCTAAGAAAATGACCTCTTCACCTCTTGTTGTGTTCTTCACCAATGCTATTGGCTTGATTGTAGACTGACCCGAAGGCCTCTACAAACACACTTGAAAATTCAACCATTGCCTGAAACACATGCGGAAATCCCATCTGCAAGTTATTTACAGTCATTGCCCTACTCATGCTCATTGCCTTCTCATGCTTACTTTTCTCTTCTTCTGCCTTTCCCCTTAGTATCTCGACCTTGCGCCTCTTCTCTACCAATACTACGTTATTTTTTCCACTTTCAGGACCGTACTTGCTCTCAAGCACTCTAAGTGCACCTGCTTTCTTCTCAAACTCCTTTAACATGGATTCCGATTCTTCTGCTTTTGCTCGTCTGCTTGTTGAACCACTATTCCATGAACCGCAGTTAGTAAGCTCTTAATCCCTTCTGATGCTCCTTTATCAGGGATCTGGTCAATCGCCAAGTGCCATTCTTCGCAGAAGTTGTAGATCTTAGTCTCGTAGCTGCTCCTGACAAGGGGATTCTTGCTGAACTGAAACAGACTTAACCTGAGCCAACCCGTGAGAGATTGGATGTAGTCACGCTGAGCCTTGACCAAATTGCAGAAAGATTGGTGCCATTGTTGGATCTCTAGCTCGAGCTGAAGAGTTGATTGGTGATGAAGCCGAGATGTGGGTTCAGTGGAGGGAATGGTGTTGAGATACTTGAGCTGCTGAACTATATGGGTTTGAACCTGGTGGCTTTCGTACATGCTCCTCCACATGCACATCATCCTGCGCACACCAAACTCCGTACATAAGACCAATGCAAGAGGTGAGGAATCTTTGAACTAGCTGTGGCTGCAAACATGGGAACTACTAGTTAGGTGAGCAGTAAGAAGATAGAACTAACCCTTTAACGAGGTCAACGAGCTGAGGATACAGTTGGGTCTCTCTGAGCTTGATGATCTCATTAGTTGTGATTTCGATAGCCTGAGAGGAAACCATGAGCCTGGACTCCAACTCTTTCTTAGCCTTGTCAACCTTGACATACTCAGCCCTCTTCATTTCCAGCTTCACCATCTTCTCATGTGCCATCTTTATGCTCCCTGCATTCTGCAGCAACCACATTCACACGCAACTTTGTTTCATTACAGAGAAGCCTTGATCACTTGCTCATTCTTAGGCCCACTGGTCTTGAACAGAAATGAAAGAAAAGAGAAAGCACTTGAGATATTATAAACTACATCCACTTGAGACATCAAACGTTGATGGGACCACACATTGATTGCGACCAAACATATGACAGCTTCAAAGACTTTATTTGCATGGAACAAAAAAAGTACCTACCCAAAAGGGTAAAGTTTGCAGGTAATGCTCAAAGATTCAAACTTTGAATCTAAAGATAAGATTCATTAAAAGAGAATGTACCTTAACCTCTTGAAACAGCTTCTTCTCCAAAGCATAGAGCCTCTCTATGGTAGAGGAATGGCAGCCACCACCAACCATGTCGCCTTTGATTCCAACTTGGCTCGATTTTGGATTGAAGCCCCATGTTCAAGGATTCAAGTTGCAATCGTAGTTACTGTACATTTTCCCTGAAGACATCAAACAAACCTTTAAGTAACCCCCAAAACCAATCCATATAATATATGGACTATGCTTGATGTTAGTCTCTGACAGAATTAGCCCCAAGGGTTTACCTCCTTTGCTATTATGAGCAGGCAAAGATGCGTTGATGGAAGTTGAGATTTGAAGGAGGGAAGAAAGATGTGAAGCAGACTCTGCAGCTTTCATGAAATATTCATTGATCTCTTTGATGATCTCCGACAGATCTTTAGTGTTCCGGGAAGCCACCATACCCAACTCACTTCCCAATGCGTCCTTTGACGAA